GACCGAAGGAAGTACAGGAGCGAGAGAGAGAGGGAGAGAGGACGGGATTCAACGATATCCAAGGAGGGACGAAAAGGACGGTCGGCCATGTTGATTTCTTTATTGTAACATGGCTGCTGTTGGCAGCCCGCTAAAGTCTATCGCGATAAGTATCGGCTGCTGGCTTCTCGCCTTATGAATTATTCAGTGCCGCAGTGACACGCCGATAGGCCCTATTCCGTTTAGTCCGTGATGAGTGTACGGGCAGGAGCGAGAAAGAGAGCAAATGGGATGGGGGAAGAAGGAGAGGCGCGAAGGAGGGTTCCGTCGATGCGAACGATCGGTCGGCTGTGGACATCCTTTTTTGGCCCTGCTCTGTGAAATCGTACGATCGTTAACGTGGATTGGCAGTCACGGTTCGTGCGGTTGTAAATAAATAAAACAATTTTTAAATTTAAATTTTAAAACAAATTTGTTTTGATGAAAATTTGTGAAAGATAGTTGGAGAAATCTTCTCGATCTCGTTTTTCTTTTTTAACGACACCATCCATTGGATGGTTAGGATATACAACCGATAATAAACCAATCGGATTCGCGCGGGGGTGTACAGCTGCTGAAATCGGATTTCCCAACAAGACTTCCGTTGCAACGAATATCCTGCCCGTCTCCGGCGAGCCGTGACGGAACGCGCGTGCGTCACCAAACAAACTCTCTATACCCCTCGTCTCCTCTCGTCCTACGCCGCCACCTAGACGACACCGTACCATTTCTCTCGACCTCGTTTTATTATGTAATCCACTCCATAATTTCCCGTTTAACTCCCTCTTAAATCCCCTCCTCGCCCCCTTACCATCTTTTTTCTTCCGCTTTCTCACCCCGCTCGATCCAGCTTCGGCGCCGCGACAACGAGTGTCGCGTTCGAACAATAAATAACCGACAAATTGAATGTCCCCGTCGTCGTCGTTCTTCTCGCCTTGATCGACGATGGAAGAACGGCCAAAAATACGGGAAGGAAAACGAAAACATCCGCGTTAGCTGGATAACTGTCTGGTAAGGCAGCAATGTTAAGAAGTGGAGGGGAACGGATATCGAGGCATTCCCGAGCTCATCAGAGCGATATTCCGCTCTCGACGACGAGAAGCAATTTTCTTTCCTGGCTCCGTGGATGAGGAAAGGCCATGGACAAGATGCCACGTCGAAATGATGGGAAAATAAGCGAATTTCCCTTCGTATCTCTTATATATCCACTTCTTCCCGTCTTTCATCCTTCCACCGTCTTTTTGTCTCTTTCTCTCTGTCCCTCTGTATCCATCTCTCTCCCAGGCCTCCTCCCTCGACGTCTGTCGCGTATACAAGGACCGTATCTTCCTTCTCTCTTCTCTTTCCTCCTCAGAAGAAAGGTGAGTTGTTCGTTGGTGGCTCGAGTCTTTCTCTCTCTCTCTTTCTCCCTCTCCGCTCTCTCTTCCTCTTCCTTTCCTCTCTCGCGGAAATATAAAGAACAGGGCTAACGCTGCTTAACCATTTTAGGTCGTAAATTTATTAGAGTAGGTACTTCCACCTTCTCCATCTCCGACCCATCTTTCCCCGCCCACCTTCTACGTTTCGTTCCTCATCCTTCGGCTTTCTTCTTTCTCGGCTAACCATCCATCCATCCATCCATCCATCCATCCATCCATCCATCCATCCACCCACTCACCCTCAAGGCTCCCCCATCTCAATGCGGCACAACGCTCCTCGGCAATGATATTGCGAAGGTAAACTCGCTTAGACGGTTTAAATGCAAGAAAATTGGAATAAAATGGAAGTAATTCCGGGATTAAAATTGCACGTTCCGTTTGTTTGGCCACGGAACGCCACTCCCTTTCGCGCTTGAAATAGATGAAAATTTCAACGTAGAAAAAATGATTTCCTTGAGATTTTCCGGATTATTTTTCCTCCGTGCTTTGAAATATTCGATATAGCGAATACCTGTTTCTTTCTTTTTCTTTTTTAAACGATAGAATCTTATTATTCCTAAGTAAAACGTTACTGTTGCACTTCGGCGAATTCCCTCGATGAATAATCGATGAAAAAATAAAAATAAAAAAAAAAAAAGGTACACGCACGCGCGTACCCGAAATATCTAATTCACGACGNCGCGTACCCGAAATATCTAATTCACGACGATGGAGGCAAAGAGGCGACGGATGCACGATTTTCGTTAATCTTTTTTTCCCTTCCATTTGGCGCGCGGACTACGCTCGAAACGCGTTCGAAATCGCGTTCACGCCAAGCCCCGTTACTTTCGACAGAAAACCACTTTGCGTGGCGGTGCGCTTTGCAGTCGGACCCGGAAAATCTCGGCCCCGGTTTAGGGGAACACCGGCTAACAGAGTGGTCGTTTACAGGGAAATATCGACGTTAACGTCGTTCAGGCGGCCGCGTAACAGCTTTCGTCGATCACCATCGGCCGTGCATTGACGAGGAGCACGGCGAAATCTCGCGTATCGCGGCAAAAATCACTTTCTTTCTTTTTTTTTTTTTTTTTCCCTCCCTCCCCTTCCCTTTTCCATAGATTGTTGCCATTTCTTTCTCCCTCCCCATATTCCCAATCATCTTCCCTGCTCGAGAGCGCATCGTTCCGGGACGATGATCGCTTTATCCTCGCCGACGACCGGCGAATTTGGATTAGCGCCGGTAAAAAGGTATTCGAGAGCCGCTCACGCCACGTCGAACTCATTGTCGTCCGTGCCGGTATTAACAGATTTCGGCTATTGTCCGACGACCAGGGTGGCCCTCTCGTTTCGTGAAAGAGTTGCAGAAAGAGAGAGAGAGAGAAAAGTGTCGCGCGTTTGCGGTTCTCTGCGACTCTTTCTGTCTTTCCTTTACTTTCCATCTCACCTTCCAATCCTTTTATCATCTTTCTTCTAATTTTACGCGATTGGATAACGTCCTTTCCTTTCTCTTTCAATCAAAAACGATCTATAATTGTACGAGTTACAGGAACGTTCCTTCTGAAATTCGGTCAGATGCTGACGTTCGATCTGATCGCGTACAAAAGCTTTCGATCTAATTTAATAATAAACTCTTTATATTCTTTAATAGCGTGTACAGCGTCGATTACTTTCGTAACATCTGGCGTATATTTAGTACCAGAGAAATGAATTCGAGGAAGATGATCCCATTCTCCTATTCTCGACGATCCAATAGATCGTGTATCGTCGTTTCCGGAAGGGGAAAGAAAGGGATGGACGGACAACCAGAGTTATACTCTTCCTCGAGGTATATTACAAGTTTATCAAAGCTCTGTCGTGAATGTGAGCGTGGGGCAGAGGGGGGAGGGAAGGTACGTTTCGAACGTATAAGGCTAGATTCCGGTCCAGGGCACCATGGCCATGGTATGCATAGAGAAGGGAGATGTTTGGAGAGGGTTGGAGTCTATTATTCACCGTGCTTTTTATACACCCCTCCTCCTCCTCTCTCTCTCTCTCTCTCTCCAGCAACCACTCTCCTTCCCTACCCTAGCCCTATATACTATTTCCCCCTTC